TGAATACATTTTTTTATTGTTTGCCATAAATATTAACATACACATGTATGCATTATGCTATTTAATACATCAAGATTTATTTTACACCGCAGTAAATGTTGCATAAAAACACGTTTTGATTTTCAGTCATATAATCAGAATTTTGAGAATTATAAACAATTGGAAGTCAGGACTTCCACCCTGGATTACTCCTCAAGAATATGTTAGAAAAGGGAACAAAAAGATAAAGAGTGAGAGAAAAAAAAAGGATGAGGAAAAAATCCAATTATAATTAGAGATGTCGCGAACCGTCCGCGAACTTCTCGTGAACGGTTCGCGCCGAACTCCGGTCAGCTGACACATCCCGGCCAATCTCCGGCAGACCCTCCCTCCCAGACCCTCCCACCTCCTGGACAGCATCCATGTTGAAGCTGCCTTCAACATGGATGCTGTCCAGGAAGTAGGAGGGTCTGGGAGGGAGGGTCTGCCGGAGATTGGCCAGGATGTGTCAGCTGACCGGAGTTCGGCGTGAACGGTTCGTGGCGAACCGTTCGCGAGAAGTTCGCGACATCTCTAATTATAATGCATGGGATGTCAGTATTGGGCAATTCAGGGGCTGTTGTCACTAACTATAGGGACTGAATTGTAGTTTATGTCTGGGTGCAGCCAGAAGCGCCAAGTGTCAATTCCTCCATTGCCCGGAGTTTCTCCATCCTGGTAAACCATAGTCGCATAGTAGGTGGCACCAGTAGTCTCCAGAACAGAGGGACAAGATGTTTTGCAGTCTTTAGAATTCCGATCGTCATTGATTTCATATATTTTAAGGTGCAGCCGAGGAGTGATGCAGTAGGAAGGAGGCCGGGATGAAGTGAGGGGCCTATCTGAAAGATTTTGAGCATGTCATGAATCTCTCTCCAAAAGGGTTTTAGCTTAGGACAGTCCACCACATGACAGATGGTGCCCAGAGCTGCCTGACATCTCCAACAGCCTCCATCCCTAGATTGGTCCATTGTTTGTAGGACCTGTGGGGTTCAGTACCATTGTGATACGAAAAGGTGGACTTTTAGTTACAGATGTATTATTCTGATGCAGGCAGAAAATAATTGCAGAACTAGAGATACAACAATTAGGATTGCAGAAAATGAACATAGAACAAGTGGATGTTAGCGTGAATATGGTTTGGAGGACACTAAATTACAGGTCAGTAAGGTGATGGAGGTTGAGAAAACAGGAGGTATCTGAGGTCCTATGAATTACACGCATCTGAGACTTTGAGAATTTGTAAACTATAAAGAAAATATGAAGATGGTAGCTTTGTGGAAAATCTGTAAACCTCTAACCCCCCTGAGGGTTATAAGAAATGCTTTAGATAATTGCAAACCGTTACCACTGTAGACATGTTTATACATAAGTTATCACCATGAATACTCAGTGTTTCTTTTCCGGCTGGATAGTATCCTGATTCTAGTGTAAGTACAGGAGTTTAGGCATCAGATTTAGAATGTGTTTAATATCCAGAAAACTCTGGGAAAGAGCCCAAGTCTCTTTTTTTTTCTGAGGCTTAAAAAAAATATCTTGAAAACATTTGAACAAAGATGAACTTCAACTGTGTGATTCAGTGGAGGATTTACACTGCTGATATTAATGATGGCAGCAACTGCTCAAAGGTATTAATCTATGCACATGTTCTTAAAATTAGTTAGAAATTAGTTAATTAGCTTATAAATTAAAGGATCACTCCAGGCACCAACATGTTTGGTGCAACGTGTTGGTTAGTTTAGTTATTTAAGCTGGGTGTTTGTTTTTTTTTTTTATCAATCTTTCTATAGTTTTTTTTCCCTTAAATACTAATTATTACTAATTCGTTTCTGCCACTTTCACATTGCAGTATTTCCTTTCTTGCTCTAAAATAACTACTTTAAATTATGTTTAGCTTTATAGAGCAGAAGTATAACAATTAGATTACAATACCAGGCCTCCAAACTGTCTCACTCTTAGTGGTACAGTCCTGATTTTGGGGTTGGTCCGCTTCAGTTTTCTGATGTCTCCAGGCAGCACAGCACTTGTGCATCATTAGACGTGCTCATGCAGTGAAGCAAACACTTCAGCAGCAGCAATTGTTTAGGGTAAGGGATGGCCCTTTATCCACTGGACGAGCAAAGACGCTTTAGGCTCACAAGCCCAAGTGATTAAGCTTAAAGTGCACAAGGAGCACATACTCTTTCACCTTGTCCCCCAAATAACAGAGACGACACGCATATTAGGGGGGCAAGAATTGTGAAATGCCAAAATCCTGGAATGTTGATGTGTCTTGGGAATGGGTTTGAAACCACTGGTCTAGGTGTATTTAGCAAAACATAACCAATATGGCAACATCAATATTCTGAGAACTACACTTATCAAGGAGTCGTATTTGTTTTACCAAATTCCATTCCCTACATCAAGGTTTCCCATAAGAACTTCCCAGTATATCTAAACATTACAGTGTTCAAGAAAGAACAAATACATAAAACTATATTAGCTGGTGCCTTACTTAGTTGCACTGCGTAAAAGAGACACATATTAAATGTATATATATATAAAAATCGATAAGTAGCTTGGCACTCACCCTTTCTCCTCCTGTGTGGTTTAATGCCCCGGTGCAATCCCATGTTAGCAGATATATATAACTTGAAAAAGAGATGCACTCTATGGTCTTTTATAAACAAGATATTATTTTAATCCAAATGTTAGTTTACTTCTAACTTGATCAACGGTTCAACACGTTAGGGTCTTTCTCAAGATCCTGGATACTGGTAAAGGGGTTACAGTTAAATTAAATACCAAATAAAATGGAACATGTACCAATTAAGAATTCACAAGGTTTTAGCAGGTTTTCCCATTTAATATTAACCTTTTTTCCATCTGATATACATTTTTTGTTGTGTGAACATTGAAATATACTGCAGTATTTCTCTTTTTCATTGACCATATCCAAGCCACCAAGCAACATTGTTGATGCAGAAAGTTATTTCTATAGTAACTGTGTTTATTCTACATACTTACAGGGAATTCCCTATAATCTCACAATTTCCAGAAGAACGTGTTTGCTGTCTCTGCCCACCCTCACACTGCACAACCTTTCAAATTGGATTCTAGTATACTTTAATGGTTTTCTAGACCACGTTGTTTCTGTGCTAATTATATGGATCAGTTAATTTCTTGGAAAGGAATCTTTGCAAAATAATAACTGTCCAGTTACGGGTTTTATATTACATTTCCACTTGTATGTAGGGGATTTAATTATGATTACGATAATATAAAAGTAAAAGAGCAAAAGGAAGTTAATAGGATATGAGCTGGTAGGTTAGTGATATTTAACCCCTTAAGGGACAAATATGCTATAACAGTTTGATTCTGAAACACCAACGCACATGCAGAAATGCATACATACAGATACACAGACAGATACGCACACACAGGTGCATATACAGATACACAGACATACAGATACAAACACTGACACACATACAGATACACAGAGATACAGATACACACATGCTGGTCATCTTTTAGCCGCTGTCATGGTTACCGTTACTCTTACACTCAGGAAAATGGATACCCACAAAGTGAGGGTCCAAAAAGACGTATTACCAGGTCTTAGAGTGACCTGATTTAACGTATTACAAGAGAGAATCAAATTTAGGAACAGCCGAAGTCAGGAATACAGAGATACAGATCCACGAAAAAAAAACCCAGGTCAGGATAATAGAAATACATAAGCCAATATACAAACCTGGTCAGGATTACATAAATACACAGGTCAATACATTAGCAACGTCAGGATATCAGAGGTTAACAGAGTCAAAACGAAATCAAGATCAATAACAGGGAATCACAAGAGAGTCGCAGAAGCACTAAACATGTAAATAAGCCGAAACCACGATAGGGCAATGAGTAAGGCACTGAACAGGCTTTTAAAAGGTCCACATGTGTGCTCACTGGTCCACATCATCTCTGCAACTTCAAACAACATTGGACTGCCCCTTAGAGCAGGCAAGGTCCAAATGTATTTGTAGAAGCCTGGTGTTTAGCCCGCGAACCACCATAGGGAGCCGTTTGTGTCTACTTTATTCCCTATTCAGGCTGTGCGGCCATGTGGATCATTCTACCGGAGGAGGTGAGTGGCGCAGGTGCCAGTTGCAGGTAAGTCTGTGACAGTCGCCCTCCTGTTTCCTACCTTTTGGAGGCAGGAGGGTGGCTTCTGCTGGCTGGGGCTGTTAGATGTAAGTTTAGATACTCCTCCTCTCCCTTCCACATGGCTCCATGTAAGTTAGCTGGGAAGAAGCAACCTGCACTCACTTCTAACTGAGCTCCTGAGGAAAAATGCATGGGACATCTGATGGGCTCCCTCAGCAATGGTAGTGCGTGGCTGCTAGATTGCGATTTTGGCAACCAAAAAAAATCATTATTCCTTAAGGGCTTAATTCAATTCATATATCAATGCTAGACTATCAAGTTCAAGAAACAGTATGTAAATAATTTTGCAGTTTTATGGTGTAATTTCCAAACACTTTTTTAGACTAAAGAGAAAGAAAAAACACCAGTCTTACAAATTATCATGTCAAGTTATAGGCAGGGGGTTTCTGATCTTTTAAATATAGAAGAATTAATTAACTTCTGTACGAAGTGGTAGCTTTGTTGAATACATTATTATCAAGTGAACAGTACGAACAGATACCTCATTTATGCTGTCTGACTGTAATTCTACTGATGTACTTACACAAAGCTATCCTTTTACACTATTTTTGAAGTACCTTGACCTAATAAAAAAAATGGTCTTACGGCAGTATTTAGGGATGAACAGGTCCTCTTGCTGACATTTCAATAACACTTGACCTTATTAAAGCTGCTTGTCGGTGCCTTTAGATTGGTAAATGAAGATAATTAGCAAAACAAATTTAAATAGCAGCACTGAGCATGTGGCTTGCATTCCCTAGCCATAACATAGAAAAAAAATCCTAGTCTCAGTGGTGTACTAAGGGGGGGCGGTCCGCCCCGGGTGCCATCAGGTAGGGGGGTGCCACCAGGGCTGGCCAGGCTTGGGGTTCAGTGAGCTGTGTGGCTGCACTGGTTGCCATAGCAGCAGGGGTGCCAGGCAGCCGACACAGCTCACACATGCAGGGGCTGGGAGCAGGAGCAGGAAACCTGCACGGACATTTGGAGGCGGAGCCAGATCGGCTGTGGGAGCGAAGCTAAATGCAGCCTCATACTGCTGCACTCAGAGGGGAAGCAGGAAGGAGTCCCTGCTTCCCCAACTACAACACAGCAGGGACTAAATCCACTCCTCCTCTAGACCAAGCTTACTGTAAGTGAGAGAGAGAAAGTGTGCGCTGTGTGTAACTGCGATTGTGATTGTCTGTGTGACTGTGTGTGATTGTCTGCCTGTGTGTGACTGTCTGCCTGTGATTGTCTGTGTGACTCTGTGTGTGTGATTGTCTGCCTGTGTGTGTGTGACTGTCTGCCTGTGATTGTGGGAGTGTGTGTGACTGTCTGCCTGTGATTGTGTGTGTGTGTGTGTGTGACTGTCTGCCTCTGATTGTGTGTGTGTGTGAGACTGTCTGTGATTGTGTTGTGTGTATGTGTGACTGTCTGCCTGTGATTGTGTGTGACTGTCTGCCTGTGATTGTCTGTGTGACTGTGTGTGTGTGTGTGTGTGTGACTGTCTGCCTGTGTGTGTGGGTGTGTGTGACTGTCTGACTGTGATTGTGTGTGTGTGACTGTCTACCTGTGATTGTGTGTGTGTGACTGTCTGTGACTGTGTTGTGTGTATGTGTGCCTGTCTGCCTGTGATTGTGCGTGTGACTGTCTGTGAATCTGTGTGTGTATGTGTGACTGTCTGTGAATCTGTGTGTGTATGTGTGATTGTCTGCCTGTGTGATTGCCTGCGTGTTTGACTATCTGCCTGTAACTGTGTGTGAGTGACTGTGTGCATCTGACTGTGTCTGACGGTCTTCGCCCTGCCTTGAGCCGGCAGCCAGGATATGACGTCATCGCAGCCTCGGCGTCATTACAGGGCGTGCGATGGACCTATGCAGGAAGAGTACAGAGATCCCAGCAGCAACCACTGACCACCAGGGACTGAGGATCCACTGGGTGGACCTCTTAATTATTAAATGTGTGTATGTATGTAATGTTTGTGTGTATGTGATTGTGTGTCTGTGATTGTATGTGTGTGGGTCAGTGATTGTGTTTGTGTATATCTGGGATTATGTGTGTCTCTGTGTATGTGTTTAGTAGATAGCTCCCTTATTTCCTGTCCTTAAATATTACAATCCCACATAAGCATAACAAATGAGGGATCTACTAAACAACTGAAAAAAAGAAAAGGGCTTTTTTTAATCTTGATCTTTTAGCTGTTTAGTAGATCATTCCCTGAATTGGTGCCCGTTTGTGAGATTTGCATATTTAAAGATATCAAATGAGGGTGCTGTTTAGCAGATAGCACTTTATTTGGTGTCCTTAAATATGGCAATCCCACATAAGGATAGCAAATAGGGGAGTTATCTGCTAAACAAAGATCGACGTTAAGAGGTGTCAGCCAGACCACAACAAGGAATCTGGGTGGCTAATATGAATTAAATGCAAATGTGTTGTCAGATGCCAGCATGCAGAGTACAGTGTGTATCTTATGTGCCCCCCCATATATATTGTTCCTAGAGTCGCCACGATGTCTGCATGTGTCAATGTTTATCTGTGTGTGACTGTGTTTCTGTGTATCTGCATGTGTATGTATGTATCTGCATGTGTATATGTATATGTGCAGACATCTCAAAATCTCGCCAACACTACACACAAATACACTCATGCATTTCAACATCAACACGACATACAAACCCCACCATTATATATAACCATACCACTGCATTCAAATACCACACAACACACAAATGCATGCTTGCATTCAAACGCCAGCACTACATACAAACACACCGCTACATTCACTCACATATACTCCATACAAAAACATGCATACATTCAAACACACAAACACTGCTCAGTGCTAAATACATTAAAAAAAATGCCAAATGCTCTAGGTACGCCCCTGCCTAGTCTTAATGTTATTTTGGAAGCTGTAGTTCTAATACATGGGCATCTACCTTATGGCCACCTCTGGCATACCTCCCAACTGTCCATATTTAGGAGAGACTGTTTGTATTTTATCCTGATGTCCTCCTGTCAGACCAGGAACCGCAGCAGTGACCAGGTAAACAACTATCAGTGTGGCCACACAAAACAAGGTCTGAGGAACTGGATAAAAAGATCCAGATATAGCAAAAACAGACAAAACTAGTACTCACAAATGCAGCAAAGCCTCTCACTGCTGCTCAAACAGTGACATTCCACAGTACAAATCAAACAAATAGAGGCTGCGCAAAATGTTGCTATGTGAACAAAGTGCTACCAAAATTTATTGGAGGACAGAATAAACAGACATTTCGGGTACAACCCTTTTACAATGCACCATGTTTCGGGTACAACCCTTTTACAATGCACCATGTTTCGTTGAAAAAGGGTTGTACCCGAAATGTCTGTTTATTATTCTGTCCTCCAATAAATTTTGGTAGCACTTTGTTTGTGCACATAGCAACATTTTGCGCAGCCTCTATTTGTTTGATTTTTACAGTGACCAGGTAAAGAAGGGGAGGGGGTAGAGAGTGAGGAATGGGACAACTGGTGAGGCTGGTGGTAAGGAGGATGTGGGACACATAGAGGGGCTGGTCGGAGAAGGGTATGGGATACATGAAGGGGTTGGGAGGCAGAAGAAATGGGACACATGGAGTGGCTCAGGGAGGGAATGGGACACATGGAGTGGCTGAGGAGGAGGAAATGAGACATATGGAGGGGCTGTGGGCATAGGGAATGAGACACATTGACGGGACTGAAGGCAGGAATGAGACACATGGAGGGGCTGAGGGGAGGGAAATAGACACATAAAGGGAGGCACAGGCTGGGCCGTACCAAGAGCATTTGGCACCTGGGGCGGATCATATTTTTGTCAAACCCCCCCAACTTCAAAATGTAAAAAACAACCACAAATTTTAAAAATGTATTTAGCACTGAGCAATGTTTGTGTGTTAGCATGTTTTTGTATGGAGTTTGTGTGTGTAAATGTAGGGGTGTGTTTATATGTAGTGTTGGCGTTTGAATGCAAGCATGCATTTGTGCGTACTGTGGTTTTTGAATGCAGTGATATGGTCATATATAATTGTGGGGATTGTATGTAGTGTTGACATTTAAATGCAGGGGTGTATTTGTGTGTAGTGTTGGCGAGATGACACACACGCAGACACAGTGACGAATGTAGCAACAATATAAGAGGGGGGGACAAGATACAACAGTCAAAACTGGGGGGGGGGCACACTAAAAAAATTCACTAGTTGATGGGGTAATGTGCTGCCATTGGCTGTCTGATGCTCGCAAATTTGCATAGAATTCACATTAGCCACCCAGATTTCTTGTTGTTGGCTGGCTGACACCTCTTAATTTCGATCTTTGTTTATCAGAGAACTCCCCTATTTGCTATCCTTTTGTGGGATTGCCATATTTAAAGTAGCTATCTGCTAAATAGCACCCTAATTTGGTATCTTTAAATATGGAAATCTCACATAAGGGCAACAATTTTGGGAATTATCTACTAAACAGCTAAAAGATAAAAATTAAAAAGCCCTTTTCTTAATTTTATTTTTCCATTGTTGAGTAGATAACTCACTTATTTGTTATCCTTATGGGAGATTGCAATATTTAAGGACACCAGTAAGGGAGCTATCTACTAAACACATACACATTTATATACACACATACAATAACACAATAGATATATGTCTGTGTGTGTGTACATCTGAGGTTGTGTATGTATGTATATACATACACAATCAGAGACATATGACCACAGACACACACACAGTTACAGACCCACAGACCTACACATATAATCACCACACACATACTTAACCACAGAAATACACACACAATCACACACATAATCACAGACATACACAAACACAGACCCACACAAATGCAATCACAGGCACACAATCACATATACATATAATTAGACGTACACACACAATCAACACATACATACACACATTTAATAATTAAGAGGTCCACCCAACCTTCCTACCTTTCTCTGGAAGGGCTGGAGTGGATCCTCAGTCCCTGGTGGCCAGTGGTTGCTGCTGGGATCTCTGTGCTCTTCCTGCACAGGTCCCTCACGCGCACTGTAATGACACTGATGCGGGATGATGTCATATCCCGGCTGCCGGCTCACTGCAGGGTCAAGACAGTCAGACACAGTCAGATGCACACAATTATACGCAAATACTGTCAAATACAGCCACATGCACACAGTCCCAGGCACATAGTCACTAGCACACTGTCAAACACACAGTTACAGGCAGACAGTCAGTCACACACACACAGTCATAGACAGACAGTCACACACACAGTCATTCACACACACAGTCACAGGTAGACAATTACACACACGGTCAAAAGCAGTCACACACAGTCACAGACTGACAGTCACACACACAGTCACAGGCAGACAGTCACACATACAGTCACAGGTAGACAGTTACAAGTAGAGTCACAGGCAGACAGTCACACACACACATACACACACAGTCACAGACAGTCACACACACACACACAGTCACAGACAGTCAAACATACAGTCACAGACAGACAGACACAATCACAGTTTTACACACACACACACATACACACAAAGCACTCACTTACAGTCAGCTTGGGCTGGAGGAGGCGTGGAGTCGGATCCTGGTGAGTAGTTGTTGGGGAAGCAGGTACTCCTCCCTACTTCCCCTCTGTGTGCAGCAGTAGCGGCAGTGGGTGGGGGCCACATTTAGATCCGCCCCCACTGTCGATTTGGCTCCACCCCCAGCTCTCCGACAGTTGTCCTGCACCTGCTCCCGGCCCCTGCGTGTGTTAGCTGTGTCAGCACCCCTACTACCATGTCACCCTGTGCAGCCACACAGCTCACACCTCCCCAAGGCCAGCTCTGGTGGCACCCCCCTACCTAGTGGCACTCGGGGCAGACCACCCTCCTCTTCCCCCCCCTTAGTAAGCCAATGGGCCCAGAGCAATTTTTGCACCGGGGCTCAGTGGTTTCAAGTTACGCCTCTGGCTAAATAAAATAATTAAAAAAATATATATTCCGATTTTTGTAGATCATAAAATAGAGTATTTATCTCCGACGACCTGCACAAGAAAGATAACTTGTGTTACTGAGTGTATAAAACCAGTCAGTATCATGATTCTTCTAGAGATGATTTTGCCACATTATGCAGAATAAAAGGAAGCCCATACATCAGAATCTGTAAAGCCATCCCGGGTTTGAACATATTGTAAATAGCTGAAACAGGATCTCCTTGAATCGTTCAAGAGCACATATGCATAAAATATAGGACAAACATAAGTACCTGGAATTAAAACTGTGAACCACTTACACTTATTTGCTCCATATGTTGTTTACATGGCTACTGCTTCTGAGTATTAAAGAGACAAGCACACATGTATGATATAAATACAGTGCAATACAGTACTGCTTAGTTCAATGCAAAACATTGTTTGCAAGATTTTGGTGACATACAAGTTTTCATAAGTTTGTTTGGAATTATAAGGCAATAATCTTTAATTGTAGCATTACATTTTTATTGAAAACTCTTTGGTTTGGTCACTGAAGACCATTATCTCTCTCCATATACTATTACTTCAAATATTAAATTAATGGCTAAGTGCTTCATTCACCAAATATTTAATTAAATAAAAATTCTAAGATTTAACATTTTGACTAGTTCCAACAAATTATTCTTGAATGTATTTTGTACTATTCATTTCCCATCTTTATACTGATCAAGCTTCGATTTGGGTTGGAACAGAAGTCGCACACTTCTGAGGGAGTGCCCTAAGGGATATTTAGTAACATACCTGTAGAATCTTTTGGAATCATCATTTCCAATCAAGTAGATCTAAGGGCCTCTCTGGCATTTACCTATGAGTGAAGAGCATTATGGGAATTATATCAGACACTAAATGTGGAACTCAAACTAAAAAGAGAATGGTTTTTTTTTTAATTCTTTAAAAATAAAATAAAAAATAGAATATAACTCTGTGTGTTATCCACTTATATAGATAAGATAAGGAACAGATATACAATTGTCATAGTTTGATACAATCAAACTCAAAGTCTTGGTTGCGTTAAAGCTCCTATATAAGTAAGGTTCATGAGCCAAGGCTCCTTTCATGGGCATTAAGCCTGACTCTGGCCATGGATAGAAGAGGACCAAAACTCTATGTGCTGTGGAATGTAAATATTAGGGGGTTGATTGGGGATGGATCACAAATCAGATTTGTGTTGGTAGAGGTGGTGTGTTATAGGGAGGGTAAGTCCCATGTTCAAAAGGTTCTGTATCTAGTGTTATGTGAGTTGTTATGGTATTCAGCAGTTCCACACATAGATTGAACTATGTACAAGGGGGTTAATTATAAATGAAACAAAGGGAGGTGAGGAGAAAGTCACAACGGAAGGTTGCATCATGAGGATGTCTCCCTTATTGAGGTCTCCCAGAGCCAGCCCTTTAAGTTTGGATACTACTTGAATGTACATACCTCCAAGAAAGCCAGTGGCTCCAGAGGCCAATGCACCAAAACAAAACACAAGAAAACATACCTGCTTTGAGAAAAGAGACCATGTTTCACTTGTATTATTCCGTACCTGCGCCTACTGTTAGAACGTAATCTAAAAGGGCCGGTGTTAAACGAAATCTTTGGAGCAGTTGGGATGAGGCACGTGTATGGTGTGCCTATTCAGATACATTCAAACTGCTTAGAGGCTAAGGAAAACTATTACAGAATATATTTAAATTCGACATATAACAGAGACATCTCAGTATGCTAATCATTTCGATAGCAGTGCAGTATCTCACCATGCCCAGTGTCATACATACGTTTAATTGCAAAATACTCTGTAGGACATATTGTGTTAACTTTTATTCTTTTTCTGCTCTGAACAGATAGCATTATGTTAAAAATAAAAATATTTATCTGCCTAAGGAAACTGGGTAAAAACAAAAATGTAAAAAACATGCCTGAAAATATTCTTCATTCTGTCTTCTCCCAAGGCATTGAGAAGCAAAACAGCTTGCAGCCCCAGCAGAATGAAATGATAGCCTTCCCAGGCAGAAAATAACCCAGTGACGGGGATGCCAGAATTGTATATTACCAGCTAGCTCCTCTGTATCTGCTCCTGATAACTGAAATTACTGGTTTTCCCTCTTGAATGCACTGCTGGGGATTGAAGAATAGAGGGAATAGCTGGCAGGTTATGTGCACGATGGTACAAATCAATAGTTTTCATCACTTGAAGTAGCCCAGGGGAATGTCGCAGAGTGGTGGGTTATAACTTAGAGTATGCAGCTGACACGCAGTCTCCTGTATAACAAAATAACTCTGCCATCCTCACTTCCAGGCAGATTGCAAACCGGATAACATATTTTAATTTGTTTGTTGATAGTGTTTAAGCAATCAAATAACAATCAATGTTTTACATTATTTAAAGCCTTGCACTGTATGGTTACTACTCAAGAATGACATCTGTCCTTTTTGATATCGTGACTTTTCTGCAACTACACATTTGGCAAAAGTGACAAGATAAGTAGCTAAGGAGTAGATAAGGAACAGTACAAGCATTCTAAACTCTGCAGTCTGTAGCTGTTATGATGCAAGGTTGTCCTGGGATTTTCAGGACAACCTTGCAACTCCCTCCCCCCCCTCACCCCATACAAGTAGTCAAAACAATTTAGAATGGTTTGATTTCTCACCTGTGGTTGGCCGGTCACTGCTCTCCTTGCAGGAAGTGTGCGCCAGAAGCTCTTGTTAGGAACTCCCATTGGCTCTGCAGAGCTAAGTTCTGTTCTGCAGGGGAAAACTAGCTCAGTGGCACCAGCATAGTGCATGCATACAATGAGCTTTAGTGGAGACTGGTAGAGGGGCACATCAAGCCTCAGTCAAGTAGAGCTGTTCTAAAATTATTTGATTTACTTAAACTGGTGGGGGCGGGGGGGGGTGCGAGAGTATCATATGGCACTGTGATTGTTATGGTGTTTGTCATGTTCCTTTAAGCTACAATGAGGAGGAATGAGGGTATTTTATAATCATATGCATCAAGCATACCCCCCAACAAAGGTGTCCTGCAAATCGGGACGCCGGTGGAAGTGGGGTAAAGGGGGTGGGTCCACCCGAGTTAAGGGCAGGTCTGCATGTCAGGCTGTCTGTCCACTGAGGGCAGACTGCAGGGAGCACAGTTTCAGTGCTCCCTGCAGGGTCTTAGTGCCCTAAACATAGTGTGAGCAAATATTATAACGCGCTCATCCTATGATTGTTGGGGATAATTCCCTGGCGGAACAGGACCTGAAAATGTATTACCTCTAAGGCAACTCTTGAAGTCACCCTTGAAGTAAATCGCATGCTGAGTGTTTACAAATGGATTGCACTCGGTGAACAAACCTTTTGCTGCCGCTTTTCTGTTTAGCTTGGTAAGTAACACACAATGCCATACATCATCTTTATGTATAACTAACTGCAAATGTATTGCATTGTTAGCCTAGGCTACCCACGATAAACATCAATTTACAGTCTTTGACAGACTCAGTTATATGAACATTCTTCTTATATGTTCAGTTACAAATATACACAAATTGCATGTCTTAGCACAAACACACATATCCAATAACCCATGTAGTCATTAAATCTAGTCTCACACACCAAGTTGACACATACTGGGGTAGTTGGTGGGGTTGGGGAAAGCGGGTATTAAATTTTGATTTTGGATTTTTTTTTCACTACAAAACACAACCCCAATGTTGACTATTATATTCTTCAAATGATACAATGATATATATATTAAACATTGTTATTACTGGAATCAGATATAGCAGAAATATAAATAGTACAGTATCATAGATTCTATATTTTGTATGTAAGTACAATAAGCAAACTAACACAACGTAATTAAGAACCATAAAAGTGGCTTGGCTCGGAGGCCCATGGTAAATTATGCAAAGAGAAGGCAATAAACAAACAAGTAAGTCTGTGCAAAGATGCAAGCTAATGAGTATTAGAGGGACAACAGGCCAAAACATTAAATTAGGAGCCAGAAGACATAAAAACAAACAAACAAGATGGGCCTCGATACACAAACCCCACAAATATATTGCCATTTTGCAGCCATGGCTGATACATATAGGAAACCAGTGGAGGGTGCCAAAAAATAGGCTACATGTTAGTCACGACATACAAAAGGTTCCAAATTATATATATGGCCTAACAGCACCTAAGATCACTTTATAGAGCACACCTAGATGAAGCATCAGGAAATGTCACACAGCTGAGGATCACCCTGACCTCCACATAACACTTAGGATCCATACCGATTATCCTATCTTTTGCCTTCATTAAGTTTGGTTACTATATTATTTTAATGTTTTATTTGTTCTGAGCAACATTGAAGCAATGATACGTATGGGATCACTCAGGAGTGGCCCAAGAAGGCACTCATGGAAGTGCGGATTGTATCCTCATGGAGGTGAAACACACACATTAATGTAACTTAATACTCATTTTGTAACGTGCAAAGCTATGTCTTACCTACGACGATGTAAATGTATTTCTATGATATTCCTTTGTGACGCTTGTATCACTCTGTATGTTGCACCAACAATATGTTATGCTTGACAATACTCTTAATAAAAATATAATAAATTAAAAAAAAAAAAAAAAACAAATGTAAACCAGAACTGATGTGGTTCAGAGAGGGAGGAAAGATTAGATACAGTTGTATGCTGTCTATATACAGGGAGTGCAGAATTATTAGGCAAATGAGTATTTTGACCACATCATCCTCTTTATGCATGTTGTCTTACTCCAAGCTGTATAGGCTGAAAGCCTACTACCAATTAAGCATATTAGGTGATGTGCATCTCTGTAATGAGAAGGGGTGTGGTCTAATGACATCAACACCCTATATCAGGTGTGCATAATTATTAGGCAACTTCCTTTCCTTTGGCAAAATGGGTCAAAAGAAGGACTTGACAGGCTCAGAAAAGTCAAAAATAGAGAGATATCTTGCAGAGGGATGCAGCACTCTTAAAATTGCAAAGCTTCTGGAGCGTGATGATCGAACAATCAAGCGTTTCATTTAAAATAGTCAACAGGGTCGCAAGAAGCGTGTGGAAAAACCAAGGCGCAAAATAACTGCCCATGAACTGAGAAAAGTCAAGCGTGCAGCTGCCACGATGCCACTTGCCACCAGTTTGGCCATATTTCAGAGCTGCAACATCACTGGAGTGCCCAAAAGCACAAGGTGTGCAATACTCAGAGACATGGCCAAGGTAAGAAAGGCTGAAAGACGACCACCACTGAACAAGACACACAAGCTGAAACGTCAAGACTGGGCCAAGAAATATCTCAAGACTGATTTTTCTAAGGTTTTATGGACTGATGAAATGAGAGTGAGTCTTGATGGGCCAGATGGATGGGCCCGTGGCTGGATTGGTAAGGGCAGAGAGCTCCAGTCCGACTCAGACGCCAGCAAGGTGGAGGTGGAGTACTGGTTTGGGCTGGTATCATCAAAGATGAGCTTGTGGGGCCTTTTCGGGTTGAGGATGGAGTCAAGCTCAACTCCCAGTCCTACTGCCAGTTCCTGGAAGACACCTTCTTCAAGCAGTGGTACAGGAAGAAGTCTGCATCCTTCAAGAAAAACATGATTTTTCATGCAGGACAATGCTCCATCACACGCGTCCAAGTACTCCACAGCGTGGCTGGCAAGAAAGGGTATAAAAGAAGAAAATCTAATGACATGGCCTCCTTGTTCACCTGATCTGAACCCCATTGAGAACCTGGTCCATCATCAAATGTGAGATTTACAAGGAGGGAAAACAGTACACCTCTCTGAACAGTGTCTGGGAGGCTGTGGTTGCTGCTGCACGCAATGTTGATGGTGAACAGATCAAAACACTGACAGAATCCATGGATGGCAGGCTTTTGAGTGTCCTTACAAAGAAAGGTGGCTATATTAGTCACTGATTTGTTTTTGTTTTGTTTTTGAATGTCAGAAATGTATATTTGTGAATGTTGAGATGTTATATTAGTTTCACTGGTAATAATAAATAATTGAAATGGGTATATATTTGTTTTTTGTTAAGTTGCCTAATAATTATGCACAGTAATAGTCACCTGCACACACAGATATCCCCTAACATAGCTAAAACTAAAAACAAACTAAAAACTACTTCCAAAAATATTCAGCTTTGATATTAATGAGTTTTTTGGGTTCATTGAGAACATGGTTGTTGTTCAATAATAAAATTAATCCTCAAAAATACAACTTGCCTAATAATTCTGCACTCCCTGTATGAAGGAAGGGGCAAATGTCCCAGTAACAACTGTTGCATGAACCATGGGGTCATTTCTAAGGTGGATTTATTATGCTATTTTTTGAGAGAGTGGTCCAATATTTGCATATAAGGCTTCCAGCTCTGTAGGAATTTTTTGGTCCTAAAAAAATTATTATTTGCTAACACATATATTTTTAAAGCAAAATATATATAGAGAGAGATGTAAAAAACAGATACAATTCATATCTTTTTTATTTGACTAACAGGATTTTTTAATGACAAGCTTTCGGGAGAACCTCCCTTTCTCAAGTCTGAAGCATTTCTGAGCAAGGCAACACATAGAATTCAAAGTTGAGTTGTGATACAGGGGTTAAAGTGACATAAGTGCAGATAAGACACAGGTTTGTTAGAAAATAGACACCATTCTTGCAGAGGGTCATAAATATATTTCTGAAGAGCAGAGTGAGGGGGGAGAGGGAGAAAAAAAAAACAAGCAGACAGTGCAGAAGACGGTACACTTTACACATACACACCATTGGCGCATCCAGAGCCTTATCTCAGGAGGGGCACTTATAGATTAGTTAAAGAAACAATCCAGGCACAATAACCACTACAGCTCTCTGTAGTGGTTATGGTGCCAGGAGTGCCGTAGTGCCTCCCAGAGTAAATAGTCAAACTGTTTGACAATTCACCTGGGGTCTGCAAGGATAGGGGCTGTAGTAGGGGATAGGACCTCTAGTAATGTGTGTGTGTGTGAGTAGGCAGTGTGTGTGTGTGAGGGGTGCTGAGTGTGTGTGTGTACGGGAGGCAGTGCATGTGCGAAGGGTGCAGTGTGTGTGTATGTGGGACAGTGTGTGTATGGGGGTGCAGTGGGAGCACTGTGTGTATGTGGGGCAGTGTGTGTTTGTGTGAGGGGTGTAGTGTGTGCATGGGAGTGCAGTGTGTATATCTGGGGTGCAGTGGGAGCACTGTGTTATGGGGGTGCAGTGTTTGTGTGGGGGAGCACTGTGTGTATAGGGGTGTGGTGTGTGTGGGGGAAGGAAGTGTGTGTGGGGGTGCAGTGTTTGTATGGGGGAGCACTGTGTGTATGGGA